TTGAAAAAATGTGACTATTTGTAATAATCAAATAATCAGCTTCTCTGTGTGATTGTGTGAAATAATGAAATTATTACCTAAATTAGAACTTGCATTTACATCTCTGAATTATTGTAATGCTGGCTTACATTATGTTAAGAATTCTTGGCCGAACATGATGATAAACCAATTTTCATGAGAGTAAGTTTCTCAAAAATGTATCCCCGTAAAGTTAATGACCCCGTTTCTCCTAATTCAGAACGCTTAGTTTCTTATATGAATACACATCCTGCTACTATTCTAGGATACGCAAAGTATTATGGAGAAATTAGAAGTGCAGTTAGTGCTCGTATGGTAGAGATAGATTCCAATGGGTTTGTGGTAGAAGTAGATGATGAGAATGGTTCAAAATCAGAAGTTCATATTAAATTTAAAAATCGATTGAGATCGTATGAAGAAGTCAGACCTACCTTGACTCGGATGGCACAAGAGGCTGAGGATGCTTTGGGCTTGGTAGGTATATTTGCATTATTTTCAGCAACTGTTATTTATATTGATTGATTTCATCTATTCGATTTTAGCCGAGTACAAGACCACCCCCAATGTTTTCTGGCTCATCCTCACAAAATTTAACTTCTCATACTCCATTTATTATACCTGGAATAGCAGATTTATTAATGTCCACATTTTTTATCGTATTTCTATTAACAATTGCTTTCTATCCTTATTCATCACCGGCAATCATTGAAGAACTAAGGGAATTCTTTGGGCAAACTGCAATTAATTTAATTGTAGTTATCATGATTTGTTTTCATATTGTCGAAGCAGTGATAGCCTATGTTGTATTGATAACGAGAGGCGAAGAGGACACTATGACTTTGGTGAAATGGGTTGTTGCTAATCTGATTTATGGTCATATTTGGCTGCTATGGAAAGAGCAAAGTTCTGCAAAAAAGAAAACTAATTAAGATATACCGTTAAACATTAATAATTTATTATTCTAAATTTAGTTATATAACAATAGTTTAATAATTAAAAATGTTGTTCAACATATTTATACAATACAAAAGAATTCCCCTTATTAAAAAAACATAGAAACGAATTCGAAATTGTGGTTATTTATAAACTTGTTAATGGTCTCGGCATAAAAGATGAAAGTTACAAATTAGTTAAAATGAATATAATATACAAAATAATTACAAATAAAAAAAAAAATTTAAAATGAAGATAATCTGTATAGTTTTTAAAGTCCATTCGGTAAATAAAGTATAATATAAATAATAATAATAAAATTTCACGTTTTTCCCACTATTACCCAAAATTAAAATACAATTATAACCAATTTGAGTCTTATAAATATTTTATGAACCCGAACCTAGATTTATGGGCCATTTCATCCGTAATTGATCAATCCATCTAGGATATGATAATATTTCTGATATTGGAGATTTTGGTTTCTCCTCTGCTATCGGTTTCTCCTCAACTATGTCTGATGATGATGATCCATTAGGTGTATGATTATTAAATGATAAAAAAGCATCAGAGACGATTCCCAGATCTGATAATTTGTCGCATATTTCAACATTACTACGTGTCAAAAATTGTATTAAAATATATTTTAAAAAAAAAATAAAAAAATAAAAAAATAAAAAAAATAAAAAAATAAAAAATAAAAAGATAAAAAAAATATAAAAACTACGTTTTCATCCGTGATAATATCTCCACTAATGTAGTAAGTACCAAATCTGGATTAGCACGATCTAAATCTTCGATTCCCTTTTCAAGTGTGCCTAAAGCTTCAATTTCATTTGCTCTTAATTCTCTTGACTTGATCTTTTTTTTTGGCATAAAAATATATAAATACATATACTATTTTTAGTTGAATAATATTACGCTAAATTTTCAATCAATTAAAGGCTAACCTGTGAAACTGACGGTAGAATAATTTCATTAATAAGTTGTCTTCCAACAATTCCTTCTTCAGTTACAGGTGCTGCAATATAATTTCTGGAAAAACTTGAATATGCAATAGATGCACTACTTGACGTTGTACTTGCTGCACTAAAGGGTCTTGGTGCTCTTACAGTATCCAGTCCACTGGCATAATAATGTGATTAGATATGTTCCAACTTCAATTAGATTCTATTTACATTTATTTAACTTACTTTCCGTTCATATAAAGCGAATCAACTGTAAGGTTTTGAATTATTGTACCATTAGTATTTGCTAAATCTTCTAAATTTCCTCGGTTCTAATAAAAATAAAACGCATTAATATGATTAATATGATATAAATAAATAATCTAATAATGGTATACTTACGGCGAAATCTGAAGCTTTAACCGTAGAATTATTCGATAGCTTGTAGAATTAAAACATATGAATATTTTACTTTTTATTTAAATAATTTTCAACGAATTAATAAATTAACATACCGAATTTGCATTTTTCAATTTCCTTATTGTTGCTGGATCCATTCTGATAGTACCATCCTTATTTGTCTCTAATTTGATAACCCCATCCTTCTTAGTTTCTATTTTAATAATACCATCCTTACTGGCTTCTAATTTGATAGTACCATTTTTTGCTGCTTGCTTAATAGTTTCGAAATCCCAGATAAATTCTGAAGTATTATTATTAACCGTTCTATTTTTTATTTTAAGCGAAAAAATCAATCACTAAATTCAGGAAAACCATACGGGATAGCCTTTTATATAAACTTACAGAGTTTTCTGGAAAACAGAAGCAGCTCTTTGTGGTCCATTAGATTTCCAATCTTTATATCGTTCGACAAGATCTTGTAATGACGCAGTAGGGCGAGCTGACTTGATAAATTGATGACGCAATAATTCTTTCGCAGTAGGCCGCTATTCATTAAAAAGTTGTAATATCAATAAACTAAAACGTTCATCTTCATAAATTATCAACAACTTACATCGAGAGGATTCTTTGTCAAACATAAATGAACAAAATCCTTAAATTTAGAACTAAAATTGCCTTCCAAAACAGGAGGTTTGGCTTTTGGTATAAGAAAAAGAACACGCATAGGATGATACTCGGACAATGGTGGCTCTCCCTTGGCCATTTCAATAGCCGTTATTCCAAGAGACCATATGTCAGCCTTATGATCATAACCTGCTTGTCGGATCACTTCAGGTGCCATCCAGAACTATTATCATAGTACAATTATTGATGAGAGAGTATAACAAACTTCCAATGAAAATAGTATATCTTTTATTACTTACGGGAGTTCCAACGAAGGTATTTCGTCTACTCTTATTATTAGAAAGTTGTGCGGCAACACCGAAGTCGGCTAAATAAAGGTAAAATTAATCACAAGATTGAAAAAAATTTCTTTATATGACAATGTGCACGAGACAAAATTGAGATTCTAACAAGGTGGGAGTTTGGCTTGATCCTATTTAGACCAAATCAGAGAGCCAATACCGGCTTAGCTCCAACTTGATCTATATAGCGCCAGATTTGGAAAATCTGGCTTATCAGATGTCCTGGCACCAGCCTATTTGACTAATCGACAAATAAAAACTTACCTATTTTGACTTCTCCTTTATCAGAAAGTAGAATATTGGCGGCTGGATAAAAGCATAAAAAAGATATGATGAATTATATTAAATTAAAAAACAATGAATATTAGTTATTACAGTACCTTTGATATCCCTGTGAATTTTTCCTTCAATATGTAAATATTCCAAACCATATAAAAGCTCTCTTAAAATTATGGCAATATGTTGTTCATCAAACGGACCAGGTTTAAGCTGTTGAAATATATTTCAAAATAAATTAAAATTTCAGCTACAACCCTTAAATTGATTCAACGAATTCCTTACCAAATCTAGACATGATCCGCCAGCTAAATATTCCATCACTAAAAAAAAAGAATTAAATTTTGAATTTTAATTCAAAAAAAAAAAAAAAAATCAATTCTTTACCAATCCATAATTTAAATCCTTTGACAAAAGAGCCATAATAACGAGTGATATATGATGAATCACATTGCGATAGTAAGGCAATTTCCTGTTGAATTTCGCTAATATCATCATCAGAATCTTCTAAATCGATTTGTTTAATGGCTACTACTTGGTTTGTGTTTTTATTTATGCTGTTTTATATAATCATAATTTGTTAGATATTTCTCAGCATACGAGATAAAATAATTTATCACGAATTTTTTACACGCACGCTTTATAAACTGTTCCAAAAGAGCCAGTGCCGAGTTTTTCGTGCAATGTATATATTTCTTCAGGATCGATGCTCGTCTATTAAAAGTTGAATAAAATAAGCCCAAGTTCCAAGTAGAAAATATAATTTATGAACTTTGACAATCTAAATACCATTATACAAGTCCCGTTGTCGCTTTCGTGAAGATAATAAAAAAAAATATATATATATATAGTAGCTACAACAATACTATAGAGGAATAAAACAGTTTCTAAGCAGGGTGAATATAATATTTTGAGGGCAAAGCGCTTATTATATATTAAAAAAATATTGACGCATACACGCATATAAAATCAAAAATAGTTAAAATAATACACAAAAACATAAATTCGACGTAGAATTACGTAGTTAAAAAATGAGGGGAATTGATTTTTGTATATAGTTATTTTTAACCTAAAATCTATAATAAAAAACGGAAAACGGAGCATATACTACAGTAATAGGACAGTAATGTTTATCTTTCTTTGTAAGTACAAAGAGTGCCACGAGATGAATTCAGGAGACGAATGCCCCGTAAAAGGTAAAGGAAATTTAAGGGGCATGCGTTTATCCGGAATAAGACAGTCCATCAAACGTAATTCTTCCTGGTATATAACGAACAACGAACAAGCACAAGATTTTTTTTCCAAGATTTTAGCATGCCTTGTATATTTGATCTATGTAGATTTCGTTCCCATCTTTTATTTCATTTAAAATATTTTTTTGGTGCAATGCAGGTAACTCCGAAATTATGCTTACTTGCGGAAAAAATGAAGTGTGGTAGTAAAAGAAAAAAGGCCAACTGGGCTTGGCCGGGAATTGAACCCGGGACCTCTCGCAATTCAGAGAACATCCCTAAGCGAGAATCATGCCACTAGACCACCAAGCCTTAATATTTATTTAATAAAAATTATTAAATATGAATTAATTTTATGAATGAAAATTAAGGACAGGAGACGACATCACGAGTTTCACATGATCATAATTAAAAATTGATGGTTCAACTTTTCCAATTATAATTACTTTTTTTTTTTTATTATGATTTAGTATGTATGTATGTTGTGTATGATTTGATCTCATGAATTTTCACTAATTTTGTAATATATATACTAACAATGGAAATTTTTGGTTTAATAACATGCTTGAAATAAATCATAATTAAAATTTATATATAAATGCCTAAGTGTAAACAAAAAATAAAAAAATAAAAAAATAAAAAATAAAAGATAAAAGGAATGAAATAGGATAAGAAAATAAATTCAAAATTGATAACTAAAATAATATAAATATGATAATTAATAAAAAACGATCTATTATTATTGGAGAGCATCTAACTTCATTCTGTATTCATTCCAAGCCCACCATTCTTGAGTCCATCCTTTAGCCCATACGACTCCAAGATAAACTGGTTTTATAGCCTTATTATTATTATTATTATTATTATTATTATTATTATTATTATTATTATTACCATTATTATTACTATTTCCATCAATTATGTCATTTCTGCTGTTCTTTTTATTTTCAGTATCATTTTCATTCTGAACTTGATTCTCATAATCAGCTGTTCCGTTATTGCTAGTATAAATAATCCCATTACCAAGTTCAATCTTATCATCTTCAATGTTAACTTGATTTTCATTTTCTTCATTAGAAATATATGATTGACGGTCTAGCCTAAAAACAAATTCTTGGACATATATAACTAATTTATCACCTTCGGATTGGCGAAACATATCTTCCAAAGCCTTTGCTCTTGGACTATAAGACCCAACTAAAGAAGCAATGTCAACCCCTGTAACTTGTACTCCATCAATTTCTAAACGTATTCCGTTCAATGTGTCACGCATATTCCAATTTGTGCTCAACTGTCTTGAAAATTGGATTTGTGAATTTTCCCCACAAATGTCGCCCAGAGTTTCTAAGGCCTTTTGATCTTGTTCATTCAAAAATTTTGTATGAAAACGTATTGAGGCATCAGAAGATTCTAATTCAAGTGTTAGAACGGCACCTGTAAAAAATTCAATAGCAGAAGATCCCTCAAAATTGGACTTAATGAATTCTTTATGGATTGGAACATCACGCAATGATAAAAGAATCTTATCAGCTGAAGTGAAAGGGTCTTTATAGCTTAAAGGTTTCGGAGTTTCGGCTTGAAGAAGTTGTGCAAGTCGACATAAACCATAATAACGCGCGTCTTCTAATAAACTTTCTCTAAACAGGTCAAGTGACATCCCGGGTGGTAAGTTAACGGAAGAAAGTGGAAATATATTATATCCTCGAAGATATCTTAAAATAACTTCAAACGATCGAGGATCCCTATCAATCGTAATTTCCTTAACGGGAGTATTAGAAGTAAGATATGTTTGAGTACTAGCACTAGACTTAGTTTTGTTATAATCATTTTCACCAACACCACTAAGATCGTTAGCTTTCCCAATGTTGTCCGGAGAAATAATATTCATCTTATCTATTCGCGTAGTTGCTGAGTTTACAATATCATCATTTTCTCCTGGTGTCTCGTCACAAAGAAAGGTTTGAGTAAAAAAGTTTGGAGAATCAAAAGTTACTGATGAGCGATAAAGACGAAAAGTTTGCTCGCCGACGTGCACAATATATGAATTCATAATGGGTGAAGTTGAGTTTGAAGGATTGTCGTTGAAGTTATGGCCGGGCGACATTTTTATGAATTTGTTTATGGGGAATCGTAATATCGAAAGTTGTAGTGAGAAGATAAATTTATTGTTTATCTAAGAAATGAATCTAGCTTATCAGTTATATATAAAGAATCAAAATTTTTAGATTTGTATGTTGTTTACTGATTCTCAGGTTTTATGGCAACACCAACCCCAACAAACGCATCAAATTTATATAACCCCATTCATATATGTCAACCCAAACCTGTTGTTCTCCGCGCTAATCATATGTAACCGCCAATCGGAATTTCATTAACAAAAAATTATCAGATGTATGCACGTAAAAAAAGTAATTTTTAGATTCATAGATTTGTGATCATCTTATGACAGACTATTTATTATGAAAATTTTACTTATAGGTTTGGTTAGTCAATTATGTCAAAAAAAAACAAATAATAAAATTTGATTGGAAAAAGACCATGATTATAAATCACGTGTAAAAAATATAAGCAAAAATTAAGTTGCCAAGAATTATTATATTATTATTCGTTGGATTGTTCAAAGGTGAACTTTACAAATCCTTCAATGGATCCTCGTTGATATCGATAGGATCTCTCTCAATACACAATTCTTCGTCCTATTGTTTACCCGTAAAAAAAGTTAGTGTCCGCTCTAAAATATTTAACTGGGCATCTAACTTACCTCGAATACCTTTTTCTTCATATCAATAGCATCCAATATTGTCGAGACAATTTCGTCAAACTATTATTAACAAAACATCTTCAATATATATGAAAGAAAGATTTTTGAAAATAAGTAACATTACCATTTTTTTTCTTTGTTTCCAGAATTTACGATTTTTCTCAAACTTTTCATCAATTCGTTTTGCATCATCAACAGAAAATTGTTTAGCACCCGACTGTAATTCTATTAGTCGTTCTTCGTATTTCTTATTCTGAATTTAAACTAAGATATCAATCATAAAAAATAGTGTAACTATTCTATCTTAGTAGTGCAGGTACGCGAATTACCTGTTCAGTTAAAACTTTTAGTCTTTAAATGAAAATTAAAATTATACAATTAGAAATTACAATCTCTAATGTTCACTCGAAAACTCTTATATACCTCTCCTCGCATTGTTCATTAGTAAGAGAATTATTCAATGCAGTCAATTCTAGTTGGGGCGTAAATTAAATTTGATTGTCTTATGAATTACAATTGACTTATAAGTTCATCTATACCTGACGTTAATTGTCTATTTTTCTCCTTGTATTTATCAACTTCCTTTTTAAGTTCCTCAATTTTTGAATCCATATCATTCAATTCTTCTTGTGAAGGTGACTCGAATTGTTCCTATATTTAAGATAAATTAAGATAAAATCTTTAAAAAAACTGAATTCTGATAAGCTTACCTGATTAATGACATAAACACTTTGCTTTCCATAGACTTTCTGACGAACTTCAGTTTTAACTGCAAGAGCATTCAACACCTTCTGTGCGACTGCCTTAGTTATAGCTCCATGAAGATTATTTGAAACATCGGCTATTATATTTTATTGTAGTCATGATAAAAAAGAAAAACTTGTATACGAGTTATTATTAAAGGATACTCGCACTGTAAGGTCTATTCGTCTTCCTCAAATAATCCATAACCATTTGTTCTGCTGTTTTAAATTAAAAATTAATACTTATCCTATTAACGAACGTAATACTGTAGATTAGTTTAATACCGTCATCGCCTTTAGCAGCGGGAGCTTTCTTTACTTTAGCCATTTTCGCGAGAAATTATTATAATAGTATAATAGGAAAGAAAACGCGTTCTGGTCCTTGTTAAATAATGATTCGACTGATCACGCGTATCACGCGTTTCAGTAGGTAACGATAATGATAAGCTAAAGTAAAATGATAAATAAAATAAACTCATAGGTATATAATTTGCAACACGTTTTTATTTAATTAATTTTAAAATGGGAAAGCGCACTTTAACTGGGAAAAACACTAAGAAGAGAGCTGCATCAGCAGCCAACTTTTTTAATCAAGCTGGTTTCTTGCCATTTCCATTTTTTGGTTATCTTATTATCTATTTTTTAACAATGATCAATTTAGGTCCGCAACAATCCAATATTAATGGCGCAGTAGTAAATACAACAACAAACCAGGCTAATGCTCAATCGATAAATAATAATAATAAGACGGAAGGAAGTAAAGCCTTATTTGACGAAGAATATACGCTTGGAAATGCCTTTAGATGCGACGATGATATTGATGAGGACAATAGAAGAAGTACCGGGTAAAAAATTAATTGCGTAACTGTTTTTATAAAGATGTAATCGATACGAAACTTTGTTCTCAATATGAAGGAGCAATGATATGGCTGAATTGATTGAACTCCTTCAATGTGAGTTGTAATTAAATTTATTTTTTGAGCATAATATATGCGACTCGATCGATGACACTAACTCTTTTTGCTGGACAACAATTACACAAATCGAAATTATCGTTACCCGATTTTAAAATAATAACGTCTACCGTAGCTAAAACCAAAAGAAGGTCCTTATCAAAATTTAACAAATTTGAATATGAACAAGGATCGCGACTAGAAAAAGCCAGGGAAATGATCGGTGGAGAAAGCGGTATTATAACCATTTGGGTTAACGAAATGTAAGAATATTAATCTGACAATCCGCGGATAGGCAACATAGAATCTAAAATAAAAAGTTTCCTCGTAAATATTAAAAAAAGAAACCAACGACAGATTGAATATGTCTTTCGCCAGATGAATTTCAATCAGTTCTCTCATTTTTTATTTTTCTCTGAAATTCATTAACTCATCGTATTTGCATGCAAAATGTGCCATCCGCAGATTGTCGAATTGAAAATCAAAGTTGTTAAATAGTGATTTTCTAATCGTTTGTCTCATTATATAGGAAAGAAATTACATCAAATGTGAAAAGAAAGATTGATACTCGATTAGAACGTGAGGAAGAATACATCAAGAAATTAAGGCTTGATCTTGAAAATTACCAGGTTTAATTTAAATAACATTCAAGATACGATTTTTTCATGTCAATTTAATGTCCTTAATACAACAGTCAGCCACAGTGAAAACGTTGGATAATCTCGCAAAGCTTCACACGCAATCCCAAAAGTTAGGGCGAGATCTTGATAACAATTTGAAGCAACTCTGTATGATAAATAAATTATTTGCTAAAAGTGAATGAAAAATTCTGACTTCCATTAACACATTATCTG